CTAGAACATCAGAATGCATGAGGCTTCAGTTTGAGTAGAGATTGGGACTGCATATTGAATTCTAATCCTTATTGTCCCTGAGATAGGAATTAGAATATTCAGTGGTCAGATACAAAAGCAATTATATTTGTGAACTCTATACAATTTGAGGTTGAGGTTGAACCAATGTGATGTACAGATAAAATGAAGAGCTAGAATAGATCTGAGACATCCAGTGCTTTTATTCTAAAAAAAAAAAAAAAAAAAAAAAAAAAAGGTGCCGGAACTCACACACGTCATACAACCCGCCTTGCCTACCCTACAAGGTTCCATCCCAAAAAGGTGCCGGAACTCCGTTCTGAGCGTTCTATGAGAAAAAAAGCCCTGGAGACATCACTGTGAGTTTCACCAACCATTCTTCCTAATTTTTTTCATCTACCCCATAGCACTTGTGTGGGGAAAAAGAGGGTTCCTTCACCCCATGAGAAAAGTTTACAAATAAATACAATGTGATATTATAAACTGTGTCTGAATTTTGCTTTCTATCTAATATTCATACTTGATTCTCGGATTGACAGAGTCATTCAGGCAAAACCAAGATTTTTAACACAAATTGAATTTCCTAATTCCTAGGATGTTCAGTGAAAATTGGAATGTTGACACTAAAATAAAATTTATGTTAATTCTGCCTCCAAATTTCCTTTATAGCAACTTGTATTCAGAATTTCTCGCTCTATTCAGTGTTTCTCAGTTTTAGGTGTGTGGACTTGGCTGGAAATTCTGGCAGTTGAAGTCCACATATCTTAGCTGCTAAGGTTGAGAAATACTGCTGTGTTTCTCATAGAACACTCTATTACTGTTATCTTCGTTCTGCTGAAAATAATAGATGTAAACTATTTTTGCTGCAGTTGTAAACCTAAAAAGACAATGGAACATGTACGTCCTTCTATAAGCAGTTTTTAATGCAATGTTTCCTCTGCAAATAAGAATTCTTTCTTCTTGTTTCCAGACTAATACTTAAAATAATGTCTTGATGATGGGCTTTTTACTTGGCAGTTTATTCTATTATGCAAGTTGTTGCAGGATTAGATTGCTGCTTCCTAATTCCAATAGTACATCTTTCACTTTCTCCCTTTTTGTCTCCCATCTGGATTGAGTTAGCTCACTCAACAGCAGGACTGAGTCTCATTTCCTTCCCCAGTAACGTTATATAGGCAGTGATCTTGGCCTGTCCTAACATAATTGAAAATTATGTGTACTGTAGACTTGCAGTGCTGAAATGTAGACTCATAAAAATCTAGGGCTCAGGTAGCCTGTGGAGATTAGATTTGGCATACAATGAAGCTTTTATGTAAAATAAGAATTAGAAGCCACCACATTAATATTGTATTATGGCTCAAGTTTGAAGCTGTTGAATAAAGCAAGTGTTTTATTCTTTGTCAATAGAGCTGGTGTTTTTTTCAATTTTAACTGGAGGAGGTAAAACTGTAGAGTGGATGGAATATCTGAGAGGATTCAGGAACATTCAGAATTCATCCTCTATGTTAACTCCCCAAATGTTGGACTTTTTTTTTTGTGTTCTTGCACCCCTAATGCTTATAAAGCTGCATTTTATATTTAGTTAAAATAAACTGGGTTAAACATTGATAAAAAAAATCTTTTGAAGCCTGTTTCTGAAAGGCAGGGGAAGGCCAAAATTGCCCCCTTCTTTCTAATAATAGTGACATTATTACCAAACTAAGTTGCTTTTGACTATGTGATTATTTTGACGAGTAGCTCAAGATTAGAGCAGTTCATTTGCTGCTATTGATGTCACCATACTGTATTCCAAAATCAGTTCAGTTGAGTAACTTCAGGATTACAGGATCATGAAGAAAGCAGCAGGTGAACTGGGATGTTAATGGAAGGATAGTTTGAACCTGTAAAAGCATTTTTATACCATAAAGATTTGCTGGAAAATACTGGGTTTAAACATTTGTTTAACTACAGCTTTTTAATATTTAATAAATAGGGGAAGGTTTTCTGTCTATTCTATGACAAATATAGCTTAAATCATTTTACAGTAATTCTGACTAGGGAGTGTGAAATGTTTTGTATCTGAACTCTTGAAACTGAAAGCATCCCATTTTGATCAATCTATCAGCTTCTTGTCGACGAATTGTGAAAATTATATTCCTGATATATTTAGAGAGCACCAGGTTGAAAAAAGATGAAGTAAGATGTCTAGTTGGAAGCATTGTAGCAAGCTGTTCTTGTAATAGCCACATAAAGGAATAAAGTTCTCCAGAATTTATTACCAAATTTTTGCTATAATATAAGAGAACATTATTAAATATGTAAACGGTAATCATGTCAATTGAATATAATTTATTCAAAAGCAATATATTAGCTTCTTCCTGAAAAAGTTAAACATATCAGAGGTGAGAACAAAAATTGCAAATTAAGATACTGTATATTGGGGCAGATTTTAATCTAGATTTATCTGGTTTGCTGATGAACTTTATTCACATTCTGAGCATGTACATCAGCATGATACCATTTTCCTCAAAAAATAAGACCGGGTCGTATATTAATTTTTGTTCCAAAAGACGCACTAGGGCCTATTTTTGGGGAAATACGATACTAAATGCATCTGTCTGGCTGACGATGTTAACTGGGGCTTATTTTGGGGTGGGGCTTATATTAGGAGTGTCCTGAAAAATCATGCTAGGGCTTATTTTCCAGCTGGGTCTTATTTTCGGGGAAACACGGTATATTAAAGTTTGCCCGGCAAAGTTCAGCAGAAGCTTTTGCCTTGCTTGCATTGCAAACTCTTTAATAAATTCAGTACATTCTCTCTCATCTGGGACCAACTTTCTTTGTAAATTCTGAATCCTTTTGATTAACTTCAGTAACAAGAATATGTCTTGGTTGTTATTGTTGGAGGGAGGGAGCTGTATCCTGCTTGTGCATCATGAATAGGATTGTTTACTAAGTGTCAGTTTCAGGCAAACCAGCCACTTGGCTGGAAAATTGCTTCTTTGTCATGGGAGCACATATTCACCCACAACTGGCTCTTTTATTGCTTGTGCTGGTGAGCAAGTAGGAAATTGTTGGTCTAAATAAATTGTTGATGTTAAGCAAGAACATGGGGCAGAGATCTATAGTTCTCTGCTACATTTTTATAAGTGAGGCTCACCTCCTGTTGATATAAATATTTTAATAATCTATCCCCAGCATTTCTCTTATCATTTTGTTACATGGCTATCCTATTTCCAAGAAGTTTTGCACATTTTATGCTATCCTGAGGGAAACCCTCAGAAATGAATCAGAGAAACTTTTTTCTAAAACATTTTAGGAGGGTTGCAGCAGAAAGCTAAGGCAAAGCAAAGGCTAGATCAGTGGTTCTCAACCTGTGGGTCGGGACCCCATTTGGGGTCGATCAACCATTTCATGGGGGTCGCCAAGCAAGGCTGTCCGCCATTTTTTTTGTCTGCCATTTTTTTTGTACGCCATTTTTCCCCCCTTTTCCGGCGGGTGCTTTACCTCCCTTGGGCTGGGTCAGCTGGTGGTCGGCCTGCTCCGTCTCTGCTGCTTGCCAGCTACCCCTCGGCTGGCGCAGGGGGCGGAACCACGCATGCACGGCGCTCCCGGGCAGGGAAAGTCTTCCACTTACGACCGGTTGGGTAGTCCTTGACTTACGACCGGTTTAGTCCTTGACTTACGACCGGTTTAGTCCTTGACTTACGACCGGTTGGGGTCACGGCATTAAAAATGTTGAAAACCACTGGGCTAGAGCATGGCAAAGATTATTCAGAAACTGCATGAGATTATTGCAGTAGGTTTATATGCAGCACCCACAGATACGTGCATTGGTGAGCATGTACGCACGAGTGTTAAGATTTCTTGAAGCATGAAAGGGGACCCCCCCACTTTATATTAAATGCTTTATCAGAATTAGAAGAGAGATGGTGGTTACCCCTGCTTTTTTACTTACAGTCTTCTTGAAATCCTGGATACATCATAGTTTGTCAAGGCCCTTCTTAAAATAGAGTGACGAAAGGTGGTGCCATCTAACTTTGACAATAATATTTTCTAACTCATTAAGCCAAACCATTTATTGAACAACATAAGGCCTTTTTCAGCAGATGAGGCTGGCAACTACCTGAATTGTTTTCTTCCTTCAACTCTGCTCATAACCTCCTAGCTTTCTCATTCTCCTTTCCATAGCTTTCTGATTTTTCCTTGTACTGATTTGGGAAAAGGTCTTTTGACATATCCCCAGTGGTATTTGTGCAAGGAAATTCAAGGACCATTGGATTAATGCAGTGTTTGGACAGCCAGTGTAATGCTGGCTGGGGAATTTTGGGACTTGAAGTCCATACCTCTTCATGTTGCCAAGGTTGGGAAGCACTGGCTTGAATGCATAATTCTGAGTGAGAATTTTAGCATATGTTTCCATTAGTCGCACCATTTTGAAAAATGTTAGCTTTTAAATATGAAATATCCATGGGTGTTATCACAGGTACAAATTCTAAGATAAATTTTTAAAGTTCTAACTTCTCAGTTATTGTACTTTAGGGCAAATAATGTTCAATGTGGGATTACCATTCCTTTTAGCAAGACAATATAAGTGGACCTTTTTGTTGTGATATATAGAACTATTTCAGTTCTTGCAGTGACGCTAATGATCATTTACCCTGCATTTTATTCCTTTCCATTTTGTCTCTCGACAATGTCTTTTCCCATATTTAGTCCTAAGATAACAATATAAAGTTTGCCTTTTTCTTTATTTCAATAAATGTTCATAGGTAAACCCTGTAAACATCCTAGAATACAGGAGTTTTAGGTAGTCAAATAAATGTTATAAAGAAATAGTATGAAAATACTTGCTTACATCACCACTGTTAAACATTATCTTTAAAAAAAAGTGTGGTTTTTTTTGTTTTTATTTTTTTATTTCATTTTGTTGCATACCTTTAAGTTATTTTTTACTGTGTTGCACAATGTTTACTTGTCTACGTCTTTCTTTTTCCATCCAGTATCTCCAGATGAAATGGCCGTTGCTGGATGTCCAGGCCGGAAGCCTACAGAGCAGACAAGCCCTTAAAGATGCCAGGTCCCCATCTCCAGCTCACATTGTGGTGAGTCAGTTAAAAAGGACTTCCTTTTGGGCACTTGGGGGAAGCAGTTGTTGTTGCTGAGCGTTTCTCAAATGCACCGTTGATAAAACTGAGAGAATGTCACACTGTGCGAAAGTCACCTGTTAAATTTTTTTCGTGCCTTGTGGAAAATGTAGACTTATTAAAGTGAATTATGTAAGTAATCATTTTGATGAGGCTGTAGAAAATTGCAGAGGAGTATGAAACAGCTCATAAGCAACAGGAGTATTATGTGTTGTAAAAATGCTGATATAGAACGTAAGAAATAGGAGTGCAAAAAGTTTATTTTTAAGTGTCTTTTTTGTCACATAGGAAACTGATAAATACATACTGTACATTAGTTTAAATCAATAAATAATTACAGATTATATTTTTTTAATTTAAGTTTTTGTGTTGTGTTGTTTTGCTTTTGTCAACTTAGAGGAGTTGACAGATTTCAGATTTGAAACAGTCCATGTGCTCAGGTTTATAACTAAAACACATGGCATACAAAGAAAAGGGATGGAAAGGGAAGAAGAAAAGGCATTCATGTTTCTCTTGAAAATTAAAGGTACAAACAGTTCAAATACATAATGAAATGGCTGCCAATTTTGTAACAGTTGGCAGGACTCTATACCAATTGGCACCTATGTAGAAGTTATAAAACAGACCTCTATTTCTGTTCTTTTTATTTGGAAAATATTTTATGCATGAATGTCCATGCGCTGTACATATATGTGCAAGTAGAATGTCATTTAAACATTTTAGGGCAAATTTTTAATCGTATTTTAATTGTTTATAGATTGATCGAAATACCAGATAGATTCCTCAAATTGCAGTGGGTTAATATGAAACTTTTTTTTCTTAAAGCCTAATATAATTATGAAAAAGCTTCTTTACAGTTGTATCTTACATTTCTTTTTGGAAAAAAGAGGAATAAAATTAATAGGTATAAGCAAAATCTATGGCCTAAGGCACCTCTGTGTGTGTGTGTGTGTGTGTTTGTGTGTGTGTAATATTTTGATCATTAATAATGATGTGCTTGTTATATCCTATTGATTCTTTGACATTGTTTAGGTGAAATGGTGAAGATAATCAGTTCCTTGTTCAGATTCTGTACAGTCAGTTCTTGTCTCTCACAGGAAACTGTAGTTAAGAATCCAGGAAGCTTTTACTTCTACAACCAGATAGGTGAGAGGAGAAGAAAAGAGAGTGAGCGGAGGGAGAAGGAGGAAGGAAAGGCAGGCTTTTTAAAAAACACACACACACCAAAGAAGTGGTTCATTGAAATGACCAATTACATCTGAATTTTATATATATATAAATTTTATATATATATATACATATATATATATATATGTATATATATGTATATATGTATGTTATGTTTTATGTTAAACATTGCATATATCTATATGCTACTAAAACTGTCATGTCTGTAACCTTTAACTGGGTGAAATAATCGTAACATCCTGTTGTTAAAAACTTGGTTCCCATAGAGTCCCACCAATTGAATACCTTAGGTAGGTTTTGGTCCTTGGGTCCTTAGGACACTCTAACTTTAAATGGTTTAAACACCAGTGAAGTAACGACGACGGACCTCCAAGTTATCTGGTTCAGATGAGGTCGGGAGGTCTTCAACCCATTTGACCAGGGTGATAGGGCTCCCAGATTCCAAGTCAAGCCAGCAGGAAATCATTCCCATTCCCACTACTTTTTTGCCCTTAATCATTCTTTTTCTCTATCAGGTAAGGAAACATCTCTGAAATAATGAGAGGTTGTCTAGTAGTGACTAAAATGAAGTTTCCTTGGGCAGAATGATTGAGTTTTCCATTTCATCCATCATCTTCCATATTGCTCTGGAGAGTGCCCACTTCCCTAGAGGATTTTTAAAAAACAAAAACAAAACTGGAGGTATAACTTTACTTTTTAGGATACACTGTTAGCACATATTAACTGCAGCCAAGTCTACATTCAGCCCTTTAGTAAAACAACTTCAATAAAAAGTTGTTCTATTGTGATTATTAGATATAATGTAATGATTGCAAGATTTTTTTCTGATATTCTCAATTTATTGAGATTTTTACATTGAAATATTTGACAGGAAGAAACAGTTACTTTCAAATTTCTCATTTAGGATCTGAAATTTTTTTTAATCTAATAATTTATGTAGCTTATATAATAGTCCAATGTTTTTGTTTTTCCTCTTCAAGTCCCACGTTTATTAGAATTTTTTTCTTGCATCAAAACTATAAATCAAGACTATTCATAAATACATTAATCTATGTATTTTTACACATATATTTTTATTATGCAATAACTTAAATTCAGTTATTGCATGCCAGATAATAATATTTTGGTAATCATATAAAAGCAAATTCCTCAGGAATTTCTGAGGTTTCTTTTCCCACTTGTGGACAAGATTTTTGAAGTCTTGGGAATACTTGGGATTTGTATAGTACAACTGCCCTGACACTATAGTATGTAATAAGCATATTCTGAGTAATTGAAAAAACAACCCTGAAGAATTGTGGTGCCAGGAGAATTTGGAACACCCACAGACACTGAACCAAGGCACTGTAGGGTGAAACCACAGAGGAAACAAACACCTAATGTAGTTACCAAGTATTGTATTAATTCATCAAGAGTTTTTTTTAAGCTACTTTGAATTGGATTGGAAATGAACTGAGACAGGACTTCAATAATATAAGCTTACTTACTGTTAAAACTTTTGCTGCCATGTTTCATATCAACTGTACACTAAGACTCTCTTCAAAAGCCATCTCATACTTAAGATATTCCAGTAATTCAAACTAATATTTTGGTAACAAATAGTTATCATTATTTGAATCATTGTAGCAAAATTTATATGCAAGATTTATACAGAATTTGGAATTAAGTTAGCAGCATCACCAAATTATTGGTTTTATGTGTATATTTGAAACAATATGGGAGAAAGCATCACCATTTTAAGTTTCTTTGTCCTATTTTAGCAGTTCTTGTTTCTTTTCTTATACATGAGTTTTCACCAAACTAACACAGACACCAGAGATATTTGCACACAGATTGCAGGTTGAAATCCACCCACATTTTATGATCTTACAAAGGGAAGAACTTGTGCACCATTAATTTCATTCCTTGCAACAAATGTGCTGTATAATATAAGGTCAAAAAGGGCCAGTATTAGCATCCATGCAATGGCAGGTTTTGGCAGTGACACTTGGAATAGGACTGCAACCTTTTATGAATTCTGGATGTTATAGCAATTATTACTACTGCATGATTCACAAAGGAACTTTTCTTCAAAGTTTGTTGGCCCAAATTAATCCTTGTGAACTGCACATAACATAATTTAAATGGATGTTAATGACATACATGTTTGTGCCTGAATATGGAGATACAGGGGCAAAACTAGGATAAAAGTGAAAATATGTGTTTAAATATAATTCTTGGCTTTTAGTATATTTCCACATGAACAGAAAATATTGTTGCTGATTGCCATTTCGTTTCATAATTTCTCTCTTGGGATAAAACTGGTATTTTATGTTATGTTGCCTTTTGGGACTATATTCCTGCTTAACTGGAGAAACGGCAATCATTTATAAATTTATGCTCCACTATTCATGAGTTTTCTGAAATGCCTAAATCCAAATGGGGCAAAAAACAAATTGGCTTTCACTTTAGTAGAGTACTTTTTATGTGAAAAATAATTTTGGAAATAATTTTTTTGTATGCATGTTAGACTATTTTACTAGATAGACCACATGTCAATTCATAGGCAAATTTCAAAATATGGTATGCTTATTTTATTATTTTTCCATTCTTATACAGCAAACCAGTAATTACTTCAAATTTCATAGATTCATTTGTGCTTACAAAAAGCCAAAATTCTAATGTTTGTGCAATGTTACTGAATTTAACACAAAGAAAGGATAGCCTTTTCCTTTAAATGGGAAAGTTGCTTTTGGTTGGAAAATATAATAACTAGTGTGGATAAAATGCTGTTGTATAATCTTCCCATTACAAAGCTATTATCTAACAAATAATGTGATCACACTGTATTCTTCATCAATATCCTTCCATACTTTTCTCTTACAAGGAATTGCAAATAACTAATTCATCTCCAGTCAAGCATTATAAATAACTTCAGGAACATATTTATATGATCACATATAAAGTTGCATGACTAGATAAATAACACATCTGTAATATCTGGAGAGCTTTTTTGAACCAAAAGATCTTTTTCATTTTTATGAGTAAATGTAGTAAATAAACACAATTGTAATAAGCCAGTTATACCTATGCTGCTGATATATCAAACTATTAGTTACTATTCACATATCTTCATTTGAGCCTTCAGTCATATATTAGTTACATATTTCATTTCATAAATTGTAATCTTGACTCAGTTCAGCAGGTGAGTGAAAGTGATAAATATAATCTCCCATCCATCCACCCT